CAGACTTTGTAGGGCGAGCTAGACAGTCCCGACTATCTGATCTGTGTGGACCCCCGCAGTTGCGGCACTTGGTGTGTGCCTTGCACTCCGCGATGGAATCCAGAGTCGAAGTACAATTCCAGTAGACTGGGGCGCGCGAGCAGTCTCTGGTGCCATGGAATTGTAGGCATCTTTTGCTCTGGTTGATGCTTTGACGAGGCTGGTGGCGGACTGCAATCCCAGAGTCATCAAAAAGTTGGAAACCTGGCCGAGGAATCGATGCTTTTTCAAAAAGGGCTACCCATGACTGGTATGGGGCTCCATGTCGGCTTTTCCCATGTGTGCGAACTTTTACCGGGACAGCATTGGTGACCCTGACTATCTCATCGGCCACCATCTTTTCTGTGATGAGAACTTTGCCCATTATTGTGTTAATTGCGACTGGGACCGTCGCTATTCTAAGGGAAGCCAAGTCCGAGGCTTTCTCCAATATCGCATCCTACTGGGCGAAGGATGCAGCTAGGCTAAGCATCAGCGCGCGTGCCTCTTGGTTTTCGGCTCTGATTGCGAAGCCAGTTGGCACACGGTAGACATGCTCAATTTTTGTTTGGGGCATTTCGAGCATTTGTGTAATTACTTCTCTAACACCGAAAGGTGAGAGTGTTCGCCAGGGATGTTCTTTTTCGAGGCGGAGAAAAAAACGTTCGTCTTGCACGGCTGGTTTTGTTGGCCCGGTTGAATTTTGGGTCATTTGAGTCGAGTTTGCCGCCTTGGGCATTATCTGCGCGACTTTTATAGGTGCCGGGAGCGTCTGTAGACCATTACGGGTGATCGAGGCCCAAGTGGTTTTGGCCTGGCGCACTTTGGCTTGAGCCGCTTGGCTTTGTGTCTCACTTTGTTTACCAGCAGCATATTCTGCGGTCTTGCAACTAGTAGCCTGGCTTTCGGGGCGCGAGGGAAGTGATGGGAGGACTGTACCTGGTCCCGAGATCATAAATTGAGCTATTTCAGCTCTAATGTAGACTTTCATAGAGTCTAGAAATTGAACACTCGACCCTTTGGATAGGGGGGAGAGAGCATTCTCGACACCGTTTTTTGCAGCAGTGCAAATTTTTACATTTTCTGCAGTTTTTGCGGCCCGGCGTTCCTCAGCCTGAATTAAGGCTCTGAGTTCGGGGGGGCATTCCTCCGTCTGCCTGCCTTCATTTCCACCGTGAGGAGAAGGATTCTCTTCTGTGATTCCTGGTGTATTTTCCAGGGGGTTCGGGGTAGATGTTGCACCTTTTGCCTTGTTAGCATCTGCAATCGCAGCCCGCCTCATAGCCGGCACAGGGATTTCAATGAGAGGATGTGTATGCTGACCGGTAGTCTCTGTCCCTAAATTGTTGCGACTCGTCGCTGCATTTTCAGCTCCGTTCGCATCTGGCTTGGCGTGAATTGAGTTGGGTAGTCTTTTCAGATTCTTAAGAATCTTGTCAATGTCAAAGCTGCCAACATCTATCATATCGCAATCTATGGTACTTTCGTCGATTAATTGGTCGATGTTCATCTCGTGATCGGCAGTCAGTGGACCCAACTTGACGCTTGCTTTCTGTCGAGCAACGTGTTTGAGGTGCTTGCGGTTATCTACGATGTCTTTCGCCCGCGATGGCTTACTGCGAACTGGGGGCATATTGGTAGCCTGCCAGTCGCTCACAAATTTTGAATTAAGGGCGTACGATATCACGATATCGAGAGAGGGAGGGAGAGGGGGAAAGGGTGAATATTCGAAAATTCGAATTTCAAAAAATTGTGGTTGTGTGTGTGTTAATTGTACTACTTGAGTCTATGACTATCTAGCTCATTGGGCTCCTCTCTGACCCAGGCCACACCTTGTACAGTGCTCCTATCCTCTTTTGTTACTTCAAAGTTCATTGTTATATTCCCCTTGATGAATAGCCATTCAGCTCAGTGTTTACCCGTGGAATTCGGCCACCTTTTCCACGGAACCTTCTACCCAAAAAAAAAAATTGGTAGCAATGGAAACTGCGTGCGCGGGAAAAAGTCTCAAAAAACCTGCAGCCCCATCCAGGCGAAGCCTAGACACTGGGACCACATGAGATGCGCATATTCATCTATATCTCCCTTCCTTGTAACAGTCGAGGCCAACTTGATCCAATCCGCCATCTCCGTATCGGGTGCTGGGTACGCTCCGGAAACTCATCGGATGGCATCTCCTCCATGATCAAGGGTTGGTGACGAGTAGGGCTCCGACCCTTCCATCTGATCTGATCGTGGTTAGCTTCATGATAATGGTGATAGGGGAATGTGTTGAGAGATGAAGACGATACAGACCGCGAAAGCGATTGGGAATCCTCGTCGAAGTGAGTACTTTGTTACTCAATCTCGGCTCTGCAGACTCTACAGTGAGAGCTGGAGGCTCGTAGGGGACGCCACTGACAGGTGTTGAGAATAGTCCCCCTCCAGATATGTTAGTCCAGGTGAAATCCAGAGTATTGCCAGCTTTATGAGTCGGCTCTCCAATTATGAGGCATGAGAGATTATGAATTTCTGCCCACCTCTCTATCTCATCATCCTTTCCATACAGCCGAGTTGCTCCTGATTGCCAGGCAGCATGCACTGAGTTGAAGTCCCCGGCTGCAATGGACCTCGCAAGTTTCCAGTCGAGAAGTGGGCGGACAGCAGTCGAATAGTTAGGGGCCTTGTACACGTTGAGTAATGTGATTCCATTAGCCAGTACCCAGCAGTAGTCCCCAGTCAGCCTATTACAAAGGAAAATCTGCTCTGCCAATATCACCTTTTCGGCTTTCCGAGTGTAAGTCACCGCCCTCGGTCTGACATCCACACCTCCGTACGGTGTATAACAGAGGTAGCCTGGGTGTTACTTGGTTTCCTTTGTTTGTTTGTCCAACAAGATTCTTGAATCAACACAACATCCACACCTAGCTCGTGAGCTCGAGAGAGCGTAATGTTGTGAGTTGGGCCACCCCTAACTACATTGATTGACATAAAATTTAGTGCAGGATGGGGGCAAGAAGAGGCCTGTAGGGCGCCCTTCACAAAGCTTCTTCAGGGTTCAAGGTCCCAAAGCCCGAACCCTCAGTCATTTCTGTATCTGTCGACGATATCTCATTAACAGCAGCTGGAGAAGTTGGTCGGGTCAATCTAGCGGCAGCTATAGCAGTCTCTGCGGCCTTGGCAACCGCTTTGGCCCTAGCAACGGCCTGGTATTCACGTTGGTCAGCTTGTCGAATCGTCACGAGTTGATCCTTGGTGCTGGGCCAGACCTGTTGGGACGCGCCAGGCAGTCTTAACTGCCGGATTGATGAGGCCCTCCGCAGTTTCGACATTTAGAGGCTGCTTTACACTCGAATGCCGAGTGCATGATGGATCCACAGTTCCAACAGGCCGGCGCCCGAGAGCACCCACGGGTGGCGTGGGAACTGAGACATCGCCTACACTGCTGTATAGGAGGGCGGTTTCGTTAGATTATGGCTACTTCTGAGTCGTCTAAGAGTCGGAAGCCAGGTTTTGGGCTAGCATTCCTGGGGAACAAAGCCGCCCAGGATCTGTAGGAAGCCCCGAGCTTGGTTTTTCCGCGAATCCTTACTCAGTCTGAAGTGCAGTTAGTGACTCTGAGGATTTCCGCGGCTACCATTTCGGCAGTGACTTCAATTCGTCCTTCTAAGCCGAAAACGGCGACTGGAGCTGTAGCGATTCGGAGGGAAATTAGATTACTGGCAATGTGCTGCTTGACCCGTCATTTTTCTTGTGGTAGTCCACATATCTGCTACGGCCTTTAAACGACGACATTTTTCATAGGGCCTAATGTGGCGCCAAAGTGTTAGAATGACAGTATCATTACTGCCTTAGCTCCTAAGGAATTCGGGTCTCTGAATAGAAGAGAATAGAATTAAATTTAGATCCCTACTGAGTCTATAACTATGAGAGACTGCTTAAATCAGACAGCACATCACCAAAATTCACTTGTTCTTATATGTGCTTTATTTTCAAATTTTTCCAATAGACAATGAGGGTTTCACCCTAATTCGGGGCTCTAAGTTCTAGCTGTTGAGCTGGTGTCTACTTCGAGTTCCTTTGAAATTTAGGAATCGCGATGAAATGGTGAAGCTCCATGGTCTTAGCCCCATCATAATAGTTGCGACGTGTCACGGGCTAGGCCGAATGGTTGTGTCTTGGTTCTGAATGACTACAGGGCGTGTCCTTATGTCGGGGGCACAAGCGAGTCTGTCAAATCTACTTACTGTGGGGGGGTATTATCAGGTCACATGCAAAAGCCGAAGGGATCTGGAGCACGCATTGAAGTTATGAAGCGCCGTATCTTTCCACTCCTAAATTCTCCATAGAAAATATTAGAATTTAATCGTGGAGTTGGTTTCATGCATAGGCCGAATGTCCTAGCCCGTCACGACACATGGAAGTTATGTGAATTATTGATAGATGGCATAGCAGAGCAATGGAAAGGGCATGGATTGATAAAATAAATCCCACTGGGTCTTGGAAGGGGAAGGAGCACATAAAGAGACTCAGAGGCCTCACACCTAGCTCAAAGAAGCTGAAAAAATGATGCAAGGTATGAAAAAGGGTTAAATAATTTGAGATATTTTGTCGATTTGGGTAGAGGTTAGACTTGTCCTCTACAGGTTTATACAAATAATTATCAGTTCCATTCCGGAACTGTTATAAACTATAAGCCTACTGAAGACTTTCTAGATTTCTAGCTTTGTAGATTTAGCCCTATGACCGGATTCGGCATTAATAATAAAGTATCAAGGGTCAAGCATAACGAAATCTTTGTTATGTGAGATGTTGGTGTACACGTTGGTTCATACTTGAAAGAAACGTCTGCTCGGTCACGTGATCGAACCATTCAAATTTGCATAGTTTGAAGCCACCGCGTTGCCAGAGCGATCATCAACAGTCGCACGATCATAATCATTACCTTATTCCATAACTTTAAAAGGTTCACGAGAGATCAAGTGTCGCGTACATCACCAAATATGTCTGGATCAAGCGAGTCAAACGAAGTAGCTGTGCCACCTACTGAGACGATAGTCACAGAAAATATTTCTGTAGCGACAGAGGAGAAGGGTAAGGGAAAATCTATCGAGCCGGTAGTCGAAGCAGACGCGATGGAAGACGTGGAAAGCTCTAGTGAAGATGAAGCTCCCGAGGTAAGAAAACACGTCCGAACCCGCTTGAACTCAATCATTGATCGCTTCGCACAGGGCATTGATGTCGGTAAGTGCGAAACCAAGTGCATAGACGAGTAATGTTCACCAACCAACTTCTCAGTGGAGGAACCCGATGAAGAAACATTTGAGGAAATCAACCCCGAAAACATCCTGCCCGACACCAAGCGCACTCGCGGCCGCATAATCGACTTCGCCAAGGCCTCCGAGGATATGGGCCCGGAGGGAGAGGAGGAAGATGATGAAGATGAAGACTTCACGGCCGTAGACGACGACGAAGAGATGGCGGACTAAAATAATCCTCGTACTTAGTGCTGCATTTGAGGCTGGATTAATCCTAATGGTCCCTCGTGAATGGCATGTATCAGTCAAACTGCCGATGACGATTGGAATAGGATTTAGACGGTTGATTTCCCTAGGTAGTTAGAGTGCGGCTGACGGAATTTCATGGTTGATGCTCAAGAACCCATACTCCTTGGAAAAAGTGTCAAATAGTTCCCACTGTCTGTAGGTACGTTGCGGACGAATAGACACGCGGAATCACTCGGAGACCTTGTGACATTTGGTTTTGGAGTAGTTCGTAGTTTCATGTTGATTAGTGGTTGGGGAAGTCTCCAACTGACGGAAGTGTACTCCAAGAACCCGACTTCGAGCGCGGATGACACGTCGGTCGATGCTGTCCACAATCGGATCCTACAAAATCTCATTAATCCTTAGTGCCACCTTGCAGTTCCAAATGTCGTAAGGTCGTGTACAAACTACACAAAGCTCTTTGACAACCTTCGGTAATAAGCAGTGTCGCATCCTCTAGTCATCTAGAGTTGCGCATAGCTCGTCTTATGGCTTCCCGGTAAGTCATGAGAAACTTCAATCCTCTACACTATTATATTCCCCAAACGCCGGCGGGCTCTATATCCAGTCATGGAGGGAATATACAAGATAACACACTCTTCCTCGCCGATCACTCCCTTACCTTTTGCATGCTTGTGGTCGTGAAACGATGAGCGGATCTGACAGCATCTCCAGATTTCACTCGAACCTGCACCAGCGCAGTGATCCCCGAGATGCCCTCTTCGAAAACTATCAGCCCACGGCGGGTGGCTCGGCTGGCAAGGCACGACGCAGTCCTGCACCGCCAGGAGAGATGCGTGGCGCTGGGGCTAGCAGCATGAGCGGGAGTGTTGGATATGATACAGGACCGAGGTGGAATGGCTGGGCCGACGTTGGGCAGAGCGGCGGTGCCGTGGGATTTCGAACTGCGACGCCCAACAAACAGTATGTTATCATTTTACCATCTCCTTACCACCTGGCTTTCTCGCGAGTCCCTCTAAAACTTTCTACGAGGCGAGACAATGGCCTTCGAGGTCGAAAAAGCTGCTGCCGCCGCCAGCAGGCCAATTCCCGGCCCCAACTCCGTCTCCACAATCACTGCTGACCAGCTTCCGCCTATAGAGGTCAATACTCCGATGCCGTCCTCTCCTCACTCGAATCGCAAAACGACTCGCAAGTCGAAGGTATCATCGGCAAGGTCCGTCAGCTCAAGAGTATGACGATGGCCATCGGCGACGAAATTCGCGATAGCTCCGCCCTCGCCGAGAAGATGAATGAGGGTTTTGAGGGCACCCGGATCCGCTTACGAGGCACAATGTCACGTATGCTTGTCATGGCAAAAAAAACTGGGGTTGGATGGAAGGCCTGGGTAGCCTTTTTTTCTACAGTTATTCTACTTTTTTGGTGGGTCAGATTTATGAGGTAGTCACGTCTATCTGGTGAATAAAAAAGACTTTAGGTAGGTGATTTAAGAACGAAGAATGCAGGCAGGAAGAGTTATTTCTCGTAACCTCTCATACAAGCTAGAGGCCATTTCATGGAACGGCGTTTAGGGACCTGATCAGGGCGGCAAGGCGAAGTCATATCTATTAAAACGTAATCAAACTTTCTGCTACGATAGCAACTATGCTGCGCGGCTTGGAAATTTTCAGGGCAATTGTACTAAAAACCGTTGTATCACCTACTCATTGGCTTATGACATTTCAAAGGAAAATAATTGGTGCTGATACCATAGATCCACACGTAAAGAGTATTATAATATCTCAATTAGGCTCTCCAAGACAATTGTACCATTAGAGGCTGGAGCCTATTAGAAATTATTATTGTGAACGGAGGTAGAGCTGAGCACAGAGTCTTCTTCCTCATCCTCGCTACTCGAAGTGTCCTGCTCGGTATCTGTATGTTCGTAGGCATTCCCTTCTGGCACAGCATCGTCGAGATCCATGCCGAGGTCCATGCCTGAATTTGACTCGTCTTGTTCTGGCTCGATGCGTGCTCGGACTAGATCTTCTTCCTGTAGCAAATCGGAAGATTCCTCTTCATCAACAATACTGTTATCGTCACGTAGGAGGCGATCGCGAACGATTGCCTCTCTACGGTAGAGATGATCTTGGACGGCTGGGCGACTGCGTACGACGAAGCCGGATAGGTCCGCGTCGGGATCAGCATCTACAAAGTCCTCTTGATCATCTTCCATATCGTCGTCATCGGAATCGAGGCGCGTCATCTCTGCCTCGGGTACCTCGTCATCTAGATCGGGCAGATCTTCCATGCCCGTCACTCCCTCTTCCGCCGGCAACAGGCCGTCCATCATAGCGGCCGCCGCCTCGGCCTCCGCAAGCTCTTGGGCTAGCTGTTCACGGCGCAGGACTTCTTGATGTTCCTTCATTTCGCGCTCTTCCTCGCGCATTTGCCGTAACGATTTCGGCACTCCGGGTGGCTTGAGCCAGCTCGCGCCATAGTCTGTAATATTTCGCCTCTTTCGCTGAATCGATTCTTCGGCGAGCCGAAGCTGCGTTAATTGCGTGTTGGGGGCTGACTGTCGACTTCGTCGTTGCTGTTGCAGCTGCGGCGAGGCCTGGTCTTCTTCGTCATCGTTAATGGGAAGGTTTGGAGATGTCGATGATGTGTACCAAAGCGTGTACGACTTGTTTGCTTAAGCGACGCGTCTTGCAGACAAGGCGTGGGAACTCACATCTTGCGGAGCTAGGTTGGGTAAAGCAAACATGTTAGCGCAAGCTAAAGTAGCGGCGTTGCTGTTCAGAATATCCTGAGAAGCTCGAGAGGTAAACTTTCTGTCACACACTCTCGCCTAGCAAATGCCTAATCCCCTGCCCTTCAAAACTGATGTAGCTCGTAGTGTGGGCACATGGGGATAGAATAAATTCCTGTGTATCGTCTTTTGCCCCCGCAAGACTTACAATAGGGCCAAGGCTCTTTTTGAGGATAAGTGGATTGAGTGTTAAGCTATCTATACAACGTAAATACGTTTTTTATTTGTGCTGGGATATCTTCGATGTTATCTTGTGGACGCATTCGAGTTCAGCGGTGGAGAGTGCTGCTATCCACTGTATCCCATTGTCGTCGGAACACCGGAGAATAGTTGTTCCGTTTGATCACGTAAGCTTGATGCGCAATTAGATAAATAATCGTCTAGCCAACCGAAATCAAAGTTTTAATTGTTGATAATGTCCATCCAATGTAGAGCCTATGCCCGTCTTATCTAAAACCCAAATGGGCAAAGGAAGCTATAGCTTACTGCCTCAGTTGTCGGACGACTACGACTCTCTAACCAAGGGAGGTGAGACCTGATCAACAACTAATGAGAGTAGCCAATAACTAAGATACGACAATGATAAATGATGGAAAAGATATATATATATATGGGAAAAATAAAAAATAAACCCCTTTAGTGTAAACGCAATACCTATAAATGAGAGGGAAAGTTAGTACGAAATAACTGGCACAAAGCAAGCTGTAAGGTTGCCACGTTGACTTCTATCTTATCAAAGTTCCATCTGCTCATCTGACGCCCCGGCCGATGTCTCCAAGTTCTCAAAATTATCGACTTAAAAATTTGTTTTCGACAGTTTCCGGGCTCATAACTTATCGACTTTAAACTTGTTGTCGATATTGTATATGTATGTCTGTTATCACAGACATTGGAAATAATTCATGAGATTGCTTAATGAGTGGCTAGATTTGATTCCAATATCATATTGTAGAAGACTTGTCCCAACTATCAGAGGGCTACAACGTCTTTATCTATCTACAGCTAAATTCCCCATATTCCAACCACGCTAGCTATACAGGACTTAGCATGTAAACCCTGATTCGTATCATCATTTTGGGGTTGAGGTTTACCGTGCATATGCTACTCGAGTCGCATGTCTGACTACGATGCGACACGCTCAGGTATCAATCTATTAATCCACAACAAACCAAAACTACTCACAACGCTGATGATGACCCCATGAATAATTGGAACAGTAGCCTGCAACATAGCACAATTAGGCTAGACATCGTTGACCAGGACCTAATCCGAACACAAAAGGGGTTAAGAAAATAGTCCGCTTGGATGCGGCTGCAGATAGCGTTGATGGTCCCACTCCATGGGAAACTGTTGGATAGCTAGTGTGCTGTGCTGTATGAGAGGTGCTGAGGCCCTACGTAGTGGCAAAGGTTGTCAGGATACTTAAACACGGCGCAAAGAACGTAAACTGTGTCACGTTTTTGCGGTTGTGTTGGTAGATCTTGTCTATTCTCCTATTCTACAACAGATACTAATGCTCATAATGAACGATGTCTAATTTATGACTTACGTTGGAAAATGAGGCCGGGACATTTATACCAACATTGACAACTACATAAAGAAAATGATACTATCAAATTAGAGCGTAGCGGTTTTAGCCGGAGCGGAATTGGAGTACTAAAAGTGGGTGTATGGACAGCGAGAGATGACTAAAGTTCTACTGGAGATAACCTGGAGAAACTACAGGTTTGAAAGATGGGTAATATAACTATCTAAGCGTTCTACGTTCGAGTGGGTACTAATGGTAACTATATATACTAGAGGTGACAAGAGTTGATCCGAAGCTGGTGGTTGTGACAGAAAACTAAGCGTGGAGAACTCTGTTTCTACAGACCAAGCCATCATACATATACCTGCCCTCCTTCCACTAGCTTATCATATCATAGGCCATAAACTAGTATCAACATAATAGCAAGTGCCAAGAGCTGTACTGTTATAATAGCCACACTAGGTGAAGGGTAAAATTATAAACTAAAGATAGTATGGGAAGGAGAATCCTTACAACGCTAGATCTAGTTTTGAGTAATTTCGACGGCGCCCGTGCTTGGGTAGATCATGGTGAATGTGTCACCAGCGATCACTTCCCCATCCGAGGACAAATTCCAGTTCTCAACTCAGTGATGAGACCCGAAAAGGCAAAACTCCGAGTAACAAAGGAAAAGCTACCCAGATACGCCAAGGTAATTGCACAGTGGGTTCGACCACCACCAGTTCTTGACACAATCGAGAGGGTTGAAGAGTATGCCCAGGAAATTTGTTTCCATCTCACTAATGTCGTCAATGCAGTAGGAACACGACCAAAAGCCCGCTGCGGCAGATCTGCTCCGTGGTGGACCCCCGAGTGCAAGGCAGCATTTGCCAAGTACAAAAGAGCGATAACTCCCAGCCAACGGGCACTCTGCGCGAAAAAGCTCCGGTCAGTTGTGAAGACCTCGAAAAAGGAGTTCAAAACCCAACAGGTCGAATCAATTACTACGCCGATTGATGTGTTCAAGCTAATGAGAATGGGTAACCACAGACAGGCTAGTATCCTTCCGCCGCTGAGACACGATGGGACATTAATAACAGATCCATCAAAACGGGTCACGATCCCTCGCGACTCTCTCCTAGCATGATTTCAGGCATCAGACGACTTGATGCCATGCACAGTCACGAGCAGCAGTCGGATACCATGGGAAGAGGACGTAACAGATGAAGAAGTCCGAGCCTGTACCATTGGTTGCGGAAATACGGCCCCAGGAGCAGACGGAGTCTCCGTAAACCTGCTGGAGGCGTGTTGGAATACAATCGGGCCTTGGATTTCCCAACTGTTCCGAGCTTTCATTCTGCTTGGCACCCATCCACAGTGTTTCAAATTAGCTGAAGTTGTCCTCCTTCAAAAGAACGATAGAGACCCAACGACAATCAAGGGTTGGAGACCAATCGCTCTTCTCTCATGCTTGGGAAAAGGGTTAGAAAGGCTCTTAGAAATGTGGATGGCACAACTTGCAGTTATTCATGATGTAGTCGGCCAGCAACAGTTTGGTGCACTACCGAAGCGCTCAGCAACGGATCTGGTGTCATGTGTGGTCCACGACATCGAAGAGGCAAATTCACACGGATGGGCAGCTACCTTTGTAACGTTGGACGTTCAAGAAGCATTTGACGCGGTACTCCATAACCGATTAGTGAGGAGGATGCAGGAGCAGGGATGGCCGGAATCTATTCTTAAATGGACTGGGCTCGAAATAATGCCGACGCTTTTGATATAGACAAGTCCGAAGTCCTACAATTCCCCGGACGATACCGCGAAACATCGATTGGAATTTATGTCAACTGAACCCTCATAGAACCGTCGCAAAATTTCCGCTGGCTTGGTGTGTACCTCGATCCTCGACTAAACTTCAAACACCACGTCACAACCTGGTGTGGCAAAACGTTGAATATTGCACTGCACATGCGTCGCTTCAATACAGCCTACCGAGGAGCCGCTACTGGGGCGTTGGTTAAAGCGATCGACACATGTATCGTCCCAATTGCAACGTTCGGAGCTGACGTCTGGTGGCCTGGCATTAGACGCCCAATAGTACGAGGGATGGTGACACCGCCCACTGCTGGCCTATGTAGTATGATTG